CCAGTCTTCTTGTTGAACTTAAGCAATCCCAAAGTTTCAGAGGCTTCTATCTATGAACAGATGGTATTTACATTGGGTTCTGCACAGAAAACTCCATCCCTACCAAAGAGGTTTGCTGCTTTCTGAATAATAAACCCTGGGTTACCACACCTGAAAGCCCTACTTAACAAAAAATGAGGGCCTTTAAGTCAGGGGTCCAAGCAGAACTCCAGAGGGTACAGAAAGAACTGAAACACAGACTGAAAGTGAGAAAATCCATTTGTAGTTAGGAACTGGAGAAAACTCCAGTAAAACCAGACAAGGGACATGTTAAAACAAATCACTAGCTTCCCAAGGAAAAATGTGGGGGCAATAGAAGGAAATGAACAAAGAGCAAACAAGTTAAACCAGTTTTTCAAAAGGTTTGACTCCAGTGTCCCAATCCCCAACCCCATGCAAATGACCATTATGAGCCCTGATCCGACCATTATGAGCCCTGATCCAGCCATTCTGTCACCCACCCCTGCCTTGATAACGTTGGTTACGTACTGTAACCCCAGATTCTATGAGTATAAGCGTAGCCCTTTAAGGCTGTCGCTGATGGGTTTATCCCGATATGCAAAGCATTGCACTGAAAAATTTAGTCCACGCCCACCTGCTGTGTGGGCCCCACCCGGTACGTATAAATTACGTTAAGAGCGGGAAATCGGCTCCCAAAATAGCTTTTTCTTCAGCCATTTAGGAGCCAGTGAGGCCCGACGCTTAAAGGGCTATGCTTATACTCATACAATCTGGGGTTACAGTACGTAACCAACGTTCTATTTCGTATAAGCATCGCCCTTTAAGACTGTCGCTGATGGGTTAAGGGTGAAGCGGATATTGTCCTCGCCTCACTGGGTCCATCCGAACACCATATGAAGCAGAAGCTTGCCCAAGAAACGTCTTGTCACTCAGCTCCCCATGTGCGTAATTACGCATTGCGTAATTATGTGTGCCATGCACAGACGCATGCTGTGTAACTATGCGTTCTGATTGCATGAACGCCCCGGAAAATTCAACGGGGAGGGAAAAATGCTGAAAAGAGCCATGAACCAACCGGTTTACGGCTGAACAGTATGAACAGATTAATAATAACAGGAGAGCTGATTATTAATCAAATGAACTGATTGGTAACAATAGTCGTGAACTGATTAGTGACAATAGAACCAAAATAACAATCACAACTTGTGATTGATAACAACATCTCACACTGTAATGCATGCAGACAGATGTGAGTTAAACGGAGTTCCATGAAACAACAATATTCATTCTGTAAACACTAAGGACAGAATGTGTCATGGAATGAACCGTCACATCACGTAGATAAAAGTGAATGAATGAGCAGGGTGTTGACCACGCGGCCGCAGTGCAAAATGTCCTGCGTTGTCATACCATTATGTAAGGCAGTCGAAGATGTGATACCCCTGGTCGAGTGTGCTCTGAGGTTGACAGGAGGCTCTAAATCTGATGCTCTGTAGGCTTCAGAAAAGGCCTCACACAGCCAGTGTGACAGGAGCTGGGTGGATAACGGGCGACCTGCAGATGCATCTCTATAATGCACAAACAAATGTTGACGCATTGCAGCTGTGCGCACTATGTAACACGTCAACGCCCGCACCGGACAGAGAAGATGAAAAGACGCTACTTCTTCTGATCTGGGGGGGGGGGGGGGGGGGGGACCCCTCCAACGAAATCACTCTTGATTTAAAAGAGCTCGTGATGTTTTAAGGTATAAAAGCTGGGTTTGGTCTTAAATCAGCTGAGCTGCCGTCAGCCTGAATTCTGAAACATGACGGAGCGACAGAGAGGACAGATAAATCACTCACTCTCTTAGCGGATGTTAAAGCCAACAGCAGGGTTGTTTAAAGAAACAAGAAATTAAGTGGAATCTGATCCAGAGGTTCAAATGTAGTTTTGATCAGGACCTGCAGGACCAGTGTTAAATCCCACTGTGGAAAAAGTGGGTATGAAACAGGCCTGCGTCTCTGTACACCTTTTAGAAAACGCTTCATCAGCGGATGATTAAAATCTGTTCTGTCTCCAAACCCTTCGTGGCAGGAAGAGATGGCTGCAGCGTACGTTTTAATCGTGCTGGACGCCAAATTCCTGTCCATCAGCTGCTGCCGAAAAGACAGCATGCCACCTAATGGACATGAGGTGGCCTCTACACCCTTCTCTGTACACTAGCGCTGAAATACTGTCCGCTTTGATGTGCACAGCGCTGTGGTAGATGCAGTATGTGAAACCTGAATTGTGCGCACTACATCCTGTGGGAGACCCATCCTCTCTAAGCGGATCCGTTCAGCGGCCAGACCACAGGTGCTGGCCTATTTCTGGGTAACTCCTGATCGCTCCTCCTGCCTGGAGGAGAGCGTCTTCCCTCCATGGCAGTTTCCACGGGCGCCCCGACACGCATTCGGGGGCCACCAAGAGAGCTGTCAATCCCTCCTCCTGAACTCGGTCCAGGAACCGTAAAATCAGAGGAGGTGGAGGAAAAACGTGTACAGAAGCGTTTTGGGCCATGGGCTGTGGGCAAACACATCCACCCCCAGCGGTGGTTCGTCTCGCGGGCTCAGAGAAAACCGTAATTGACACGGAGCGTTTTCTCGTGTCACAAACAGGCCCACAGCAGCTATTTCAATCAGAGTCAAAATGCTCCGTCAGAGGATGATTAAAGGTTGTTCCGTCTCCGACAACTTTGAGACAAAGAAAACATGGCCGCAGCATACGATAATTGTGCTGGACACCAGATTTCTGTTTATCGACTGCTGCAGAAAAGGACAGCATGTCATCCAGTTGACATGAAGTGGCCTCTACGCTTTCTCTGTACACCTTTTACAAAACGTTTCATCAGCAGATGATTAAAGCTGTTCTGTCTTGAAAATTTTGTGACAGGAAGAGATGGCCGCAGTGAACGTTTTACACGAGCTGAACGCCAGATCTCTGTCCATCAGCTGCTGCAGAAAGGACGGCACACCACCTAGTGAACATGAAATGGCCTCTACACCTTTCTCTGTACAGCAGCGCTGAAAAACTGACCACTTGATGTGAACAGCGCTGTGGTAGTTGCAGCACGTGAATCCTGAATCGTACGCACTACATCTTGAGAGAGATCCATCCTCTCAAAAAGATCCGCACAGCAGCCAGACCACAGGTGCTGGCCTATTCTGAATAACTCCTGATCGCTCCTCCCGCCTGGAGGAGAGTGTCCTCCCTCCACGGCAGGTTCCACGAGCGCCCCGATAACAAGTGTCGTAGGCCTGGGAACCATGATGCGTTCACACACTTGGGACAGGGGAGCTGTCAGTCCCTCTTCCTGAGCTCGGTTCAGAAAACCGTGATATCAGAGGGAGAGAGGGAGGTGAAGAAACATTACGACCACAGGCTGTGAGCAGACACGTCCACCCCACTCCAATGGAGAGCAGACTGGGTGTGCCCCACACAGCATCTGTCTCACAATGTGGCACATGGGTTGAGCGCATACATCTCCTGCCAGTTATGTATGCAACAGTCACTTGCTGTCTGTGTGAATCAAAAATTCTGATGATTTGCAGCTCAAAGGCAAGTGTTGAATCACATTCAAAAAAACCCGTGCGACACTCCAAAAACATTTAAATGAGCTGCTGTGTAGAGAACCACAGCGCCCCCACAGCTCGTTAAATGTGTGTGCCTCCGTGAAATCTGACATGTGTGACGTAGGTCTGCTGACAGAAAACAGCTGATATCACTCAACCGGTTCACGTGAGTTGCACTGCTGCACCTGTCTGTACAAACTGCTCAGCAGCAGCAGGTGTCCAGATAAGCAGAATTCTCCTCCCTGCTCCGTGCGGTGGCTGCAGAGCGGCTCGGGCACATTAATGGAGTGTTGTTTCTCACAGTTCAAAATTGACAAATCTAGAATAAATCTCATCTTTCCGGTTTGTTGGGACCAGGGAGTGACGAGAGAGGAACCCTGCGTTTTCCTCTCCTTCTGAGACTCTGGAACATTACATTTAAATCAGAATTTCCTGAGCTTCTGCGAGAGGGGATGAGATCTGTTCAGAAATGACAGAAAACGTCATTAGAGTTCCTCCGCACCGGGGTTTAAGCTGTACTGCAGCGTAAATCCCCGGATGAAAACGGTTCGCCCATCCGTCTGGAGCGCGCGCTCATTGCCACTCGTTTATAAAGTTATCAAGCGGGCACGCGTTTATGCTGTGAACTCACATGCATGCTGATGTGAGCTGGTGCGCGCTGAAGGAGAAAGAAAACACGGGCGCCCCCGAGCATGCAAATCGTTGTGCGTTTGCTGATGCTGCGGGACGCAGCTCATGTGCTGTGCTCACATTGTGTGCAGCTGATCCGTGTAAACGCTCGGGGAGCGGGTGCACGTATGAGCCGATTGCCAGGATTGCCGCGGGAGCGCGTTTTTGACGCTGGTGCGGTCAGGAAGCAGCGCACGGCATCGGTGGGGCGAGGTTACCACTGGACTCGGTGTGCAGACCACGTTCATTCTTGGCTGCGAATCACGTGAGCTTTTGAGTGATTCCACGAGCTGCAGTATTAATTCAGAAAACCTTCTTCGAGGATGAAGGAGCAGAGCCGCTGTGAGGCTTGTGAAACTGTTGACGTCGCGGGAGCGCGCATTTGACACCACTGCGACGAAAACGTGTGTCGCTCCTGCCGAGAGTGAGATACGTTACTGGGCTCGTACCGCGGTCTCACGTTAACGTTGACGTGAACGGCGGGCGCTAAGAGCTGCGTGCGCGCTTTCATGCCGCGGGAGCGCGTGTTGGCACCGCTGGCAGTGAATGAAAACAACCTTAAAAGGTTCATTCGTGATGAGTGTGTGTGATGGGGCCGCTTGTCAGATTATCCGTGCTGACAGCCTGGCTAAAAGACACTTCATCATAAAATGATGTTTATTTCACATCGTGTCATCAACACACCTCCAGCAACCCGACACCTGGTTATCCTCCCTTGAGCTCTGTTTGTTGTCCTAGAGGGCCCCCTGTTGGCGAAATCCGGGAAAAAGATGAACTTCCGGATGCCGGGGATGTCTGACGAGAGGGGCTGGCGTAGCAGAGCTGGGGAGGCGTTGTACAGCCATGGAGCATCTTGAAATGATCTCTCACTGATGAAAAAAGGCCCTCCAACAAAAGCTTCTGCAGCTCTCCTGAGAAGAAGGTGGAGTGACGAGCCAGGAGAACCTCTGGGACCTCGTCTTATAAATAGCACCTTCTCAGAGTGGATCAACCAGTTTTGCTGCTGACAACCAAAACCAGCTGCTCACATGGTCAAGAAGGACCATCAGCCTAATGATGGATCATTACCCTTTGGAGCACAAGTTAGGAGTCATCAGGACTCTGTACCACAGAGCAGACAGCATCCCCACTAACTCAGGAGCCAGGCAGAAGGAGAAATCCCACACAAGACAGGCTCTAGAGCAATGTGGATATCCTAACTGGGCCTTCCTGAAAGCAGAGAAGAAACCCAAACAGGACTCCAGTCAGCCATCAGGTGAAAAGGAGGAACCCAGACCCAGACCAGTGGTCATTCTGTATGTTGAGGGAGTATCAGAAAAAATGAGACGTTTATTTTCTAAACATAACGTCCCAGTGGCTTTTAAACCCCAAAATACATTACGACAAAGACTGGTTCAACCCAAAGATCCAGTCCACCGGCACAAAAAGAGTAATATTGTGTTAGCTGTTCAGTGTCAGGAGGGCTGTGATCATTCTTCCATCGGGGAAACTAAACAGCCACTGGCCAAAAGGATGGCCCAGCACAGAAGATGAAAATCATCAGGCCAGGACTCTGCGGTCTACACTCATCTCCAGACCAGCGGTCACTCTTTCAAGGATGAAGATGTTCACATCCTGGACAGAGAGGAACGATGGTTTGAGAGAGGAGTAAAAGAGGCCATCTTTGTGAAAAGAAATCGTCTGACAAATTGTCAGGCCACATGTCAGAAAACTTTCAGACAACCACTGGGAATTGACAAATACTGAAGTTGAAGCTTCTTGTGTTATAAAACAGCAGCTCCCCTATTTCTGGCCCTGAACATTATGTTTGCAGTGAACTTTCTAACAATGACTGCTGACATTAAAGTACAAAAATACATAGCACAGCAGAAGACCACTCCCTGAAAACAAAAACGCTGCTTCATGAGCAACAAGCGGTTCACCGGTGTCCTCTGTCACTAAGGGATTTGAATACTAAGTTGGTAGAGCTGCCACTTCTATGAGAAAAGGTTGCTGGATCAAATCCTGACTGGGGGCATTTCTGGGTGGAGTTTGCATATTCTCTCGCTGCATGTGTGGGTTTTCTCCGGGTACTCCGGTTTCCTCCCACAGACCAAAAACATGCATGTTAGGCTGATTGGTAACTCTGAATTGTCTCTAGGTGTGAGTAAGAGAGTGAATGGTTGTTTGTCTCATTTGTCTATGTGTCCCTGTGACTTGTGACCTATCCAGGGTGTCCCCCACCTCTCACACAGTGACTGCTGGATGTGGGCAACAGTGACCCCCGTGACCTGAAAATGAAGAAGTGAGTAAATGGTAAATGGACTGTACTTATATAGCGCCTTTCTATCTTATTTCAAGATACTCAAAGCGCTTTACACTACAATCTGTGTCTCATTTACCCATTCATACAGCACTCTACTAGATCTCTACAAAGCTAATTGAACAAATCATTCTAAAGAGACTAATCAGAGCTTTATCACATTCATACACTGATGGGACACACATCAGAGGTTAGGAGTGTTAGGATTTGTGTCAGGAGCGAACCCAGAGTGCAGAACAGGGACTCAACTCAGCAGATATACAAAAATAGGCTTTTAATGATAAACGAAAAGTACAAAATAAACAAGCTGACGGGGCAGCAAAACTTACATGAACTAGGAAGGAGGCACAGGGAACTCAGGAGACACGAGAGACACGGGGAACTCGAGGGACCAGGAAGACTCAGGGAAAGACTCAGGAGACCCAAGGAAGAGTACCCAACGAAGACGACCCGACGAAGAACAAGACAGAATAGGACGGCTTAAATACAGGGAGAAGACGAGACATGATAACAAACAGCTGGGACGAGACACAGGTGGCAACAATGGAAACTAATGAGGAAGCACGAGGGAAACAGACACAAACCGGGCCACAGAAAAGTACCATCCTTACAAGGAGAGGTTCAGTGTCTTGCCCAGGGACACTTCGGCATGTGACTACTGGTGGATTTGAACCCCCAACTCTCGCATTGGAGGACAACTGCTTTAACCACTCAGCCACAGCCGCCCTTTACCCCTCAGTAAAGATGATGGATGGATGGATGGATGGATGGATGGATGGATGGATGGATGGAAATTCAAGTGGATAGGAGTTACATTGTGTATAAGAGGAGAGGTAGTTTTTTCTTGCTTGTTTCAGGCAGCGCAGAGTGACGGATCCTGGTGAGCGAAGGGAGTAATTTTATCTACCTCCAGGCACATTGGTAGAGCCAGGGGGTGGCCAATGGTGGCCTTGGCCACCATAGATTAATCTTCGGCCACCCCAATCATTTGAGGAAACGATATGTTTAAGTAATATAAAGAAGAGTAGTTACCTCAAATGATTGGGGTGGCTGGTTTACTTTTTTTTTTTTCATTTTTTTTTTTTCATTTAGCCTTTATTTATACAGGTAGTCTCATTGAGCCACGACAACTCATTTTCAAGAGAGACCTGTTTAGGGAGCACATGGAGGGGGTTAAGGGCCTTGCTCATGGGCCCAGAGTGGGGCGAATGAGGGTGGGGGCAAGTGTGAGTGTTTCACCTACCCCACCCACAATTTTGATGTTGTCGGGGCCGGGGCGTGAACCTTCGATCTTCGGATCACAGGCCCACCTCTCTAACCTCTGCGCCACCACTCCACTCCACATCTATTGATGTGGCAAACCAATTTTCCACAGTGACCTTCTTAGGCCTAGATGCAGCAACACACCGAAATGGAAGAAGGCTAGGGGTGGGTTGGGCGATATGGCTCAAATATAATATTGTGATATTTCAGAGCATTCTGACGAGAATGATAAATTTTGTGATATAACAAAAAAAAACAGAACTCATAGTTATTGATTTAGTAAAATTAACTTGTTGCTTTGCAGTATTATATAAAAACAAAACACAAACAAACAAACAAACAAAAACAACAAGGGTTAATTTTACTGAAATTACTTTATTTAGTAAAGTAGTCAGTCTCAAAGTATAAAAATAAAAATGATCCTGCTGTTATTTAGATTGAAAAAATCTGCACAAAATAGAGCAACAAAATCCACCACAAAAACTAAAGTGCAGGTGCAGTTTCCAAAAATAACTAAATAAAATGAAATCTTAAGATCTGTTGAGCATAAATGTAACATATAACAAAATATATGTTGCCTTTAAATGAGCTATAACTTCCAGAACTTGTAACAAGGTGATCAGCTGACCCTGAAGCTGTGGTGTTTCAGCTTCCTCTGTTCCTGAAGGAATGATTAATTTCTCTGATGCTCTGTCTCTGATCACCTGACTCTGTTCTTGCTCCATGGACTGTGAATTCAAGAAACAGACATGTGCGTGTCTGTACCTGCAGTTTAGAGCTGGATGGAGAGACAGCTGAGCCGCACGCTGTTTGTTTTTAGCTTTTTAGCTAGCTAGCATTGTGCGCAGCTAATTAGCGTTACGCCAGCACCGACAGGTGGGAGGGGGTGTGCGCAGTTCGGTTTGGTAGTTCGGCGCGCTCGGTTCTGTTAATGGGGCAGGGCGCCCCGCTTGTATAATAGCAGGGGAAACACTGACATACTTACATCATGAAATTAACATATCGTGATATAATTTATTTTCCTGGGCAAGCTTTTTTTACCGGTATTATTGTGAATGATAAGATAAGGCCCAGCCCTAGATGGAATGCTTATTTTTCAAGTTATCCAGTTCACAAGGTTTACATACATTTATGGCAGCAGCCATCTTGGATTATGACATGGCAAACCACTTTTTCATAGGGACTTTTCTTATGCCTAGATGTTGAGATACACCAGAATGGAAGTTGGTACCTCACTTATTTTCCACAAGATGGATGAAGGGTATTTTTGATTCCCCTCTTCGCTCTGCAATGGGGGACAAAACCACCAGCTAGTTTTAGGGACGTCATTTTATTGCTGTTCTTTTCAGGCTGTTGCATTTCTCAAAGTCTTCCTCCTCTATGACTTACTATTGTTTCTGCATACTGCTTGAATACAGTGATGGTTGTCATATCAAATTTCTCTCCAAAAAAGTACAATTTCTCTCTTGTAAATGAGTCCCTGAGGCTCAATGGGATTAACCTGTATAAAAAAAGGTTGAATGAATTTACCATCTGGAAATAAGATAAATGCTTTAATTTTATCAGTGTCTTAGTCAGTGACTATAAAGTCGTTTTCACACTAGATAGTCCGGTAGACTCGGTTCAGGACCAATATTCATGAGCTTTTGTTTACATTTAAGCTAGTGCGTTTGCATTCACACTGCACTGTGCAGTCGAGTCAACCTGTTGAACCAACCTATTCCCCCACTCGCCTGTGGGGGCGCTGCAACAAGAACTACTGAAAGAAACCACACAAAAACCTCTTCTTCTTTTTCTGTAAATAAAAATAAAAACGAAGTGGCATCAAGTTTTAGCAGTTTTAGGAGTTATATTTTGTCATTTCTCAAAAATGGACTTAGCATGAGCAGAAGATGAGACAGAAGACCATGGAGAATATTGTTTTTCACACAAGGCAGCTGACGGCTCCATATAAGGTAAGAGAAATGCGTGTTTGTTTACCCTGCGGAGCGGGGCTCGGTCTGTTTGCATTCACACTGTACTCGAACCGCGCTGGAGTTCTCTTCTACCGGACCGAGACCTAGGTTTTAGCCCGGGCCAGAGTTCGCCTTTTTGTTCCGTGACAGAGATCGATGGCGCGTCCACACCTCCCTAAACGAGCCGGACTTTCAAGGAAAACGAGCTAGAGTTCAATTAAAGCGGACTAAACAGGTCTAGTGTGAATGCACCCTAAAACTGTCAGCTCTGATAAAAAA